GGAGAGACATTTATCCATGACATTTCACACGCGGCATTCGAATCGAGTGGTTTGTTAATCGCTGCACGAGTTGAATTCTATCGCCAATAGTTTCCTCTCGTTTTCTTTGTACCCACGCAGCACACTTTAGCCGAGGGATGTCCCATAATTTTGAAATATCGCGATAACTGTACGACTATCCGGTGATATAGAGCAGATGCACAAGTGTCAGCCACCTTTTTTATTGACACAGTCGAATCTAGATTTTGCGAATTTCAAATTTAGCTGCACGAACTACGAATTTAAATTTTCAAATACCAATATCTTTTTTATTAGAAAAACTTTTCGAGATGGATCGCCAGTAAGTAAAGAACAAATAATAAGGATAACGTCGACAATTAACTGGCACAATATATTTCGTTTAGAACATACAACGTTTCGACCAGTAATACTGGTCCTTATCAAGTATTAAAAAATTCTTAACAACCCATTAGATGTGACAGCAAAAAATCTAAAACATGATTAATGTGGAATAAGTAGATGTTACAAATCTAACGCATCTTAAAACCACATCTTAAAAACTTACGGGTAACATTGGTAATATGTATAAGAATACATGGAGGAACGAATCACTCTGCACAGTAACACATATGGAGTAGATATAAAATATTTTAAAAAGACGTCAATTGTTGTGAAAGGTCGGTAGAAGACTGATAGCATTAAAATATCGAGAGATCAACGTTTGTCAGATAGGTCAAAAACACGAGATGTGCAAGACAAATAAGTAAATAGTTATATATACATGTAAATAAAAGGTCAAGTAATGCGTACAATTTTATCATAAATAGAGCTCAGGTTATCGGTATCCTGTTGTAAGTTTATAGTATGCTTAATAAATTTCTTGATGTAAAACATCTCAGCAATTTCTCGTTTTTTATAATGTTGTTCATTATGTAAAATTAACGGGTTAGACCAATCAAAATCATGTCCTAAAAGATTACGGTGCTTGCTAACAACCGAGTGATTATCAGCAGGTTTCTTGAGATCACTGCGATGTTCGTTAATTCGTGTAGTAATGTGTCTTTTGGTTTGACCGATATACATGTATATCGCATCACAATCGGCACAATTAAGTTGGTAGACAAGTTCAGTCCGTTTTGAATCATCAATTCTATCCTTCCCCTTTCTAATTAACAAGTCTAATTTTTTAGGAGTGGAAAAACGTGTGTCCAGATGTTGGTTGTTTAAAATATTCCGAATTATATTGCTAACTGTACCAATAAAAGGAATTGTGATGTTATTACTAAAATCTTGGTGTAAGTCCAAAGAGGCCGTGGTATCGGAACGAGTGTGATGTTTTAGGTGTTGTAATCTTCTTTTAATGTGTTTTTCGATGAAATGAGAAGGATTTTTTATTAGATTTCTGAACTGAGTGTTCCAAGTATGAAAATGTTCTGCTGTGCGGTCCGCAACTCATCCTGGTATTATTTGGTGCATGAAAGCCAATAAAAGGAATTACAGGCGCAAAAACTGTATTTGACTATGTGTCGGTAAAAAAACATAGGTGAGGGACCCTCAAACTATAAAACAAAATGGGTTGAATAAAAGATGTAGTCGTTTTTAACTACAATTTGTATCGAAATAATAAGTTTTGCTATACAGTTAAAAATAACAACATCGAGTAAGAGCAGTGACGACTACTCATTGGATCAGATTTGACGCTACAAATTTGACAGATATTTCATGACATCTTATTGGAGCGTCCTGAACGTTACTTACTGAAACATTTCTGGGATTGCATTTGGAAATCTGGGATAATTTAGGATATCCTCAGGACAGAGGGGTGTGTTCCAATATTTTTTGGAGCCTGTTACTCGAGCGGAAAGGTAGTCGTTTCGCATCACTTCTCATTTCTTATCTTTACAGCTCAAGGTATCGTATAATTCACACTTGCACAATTGCCAGGAAGTCTCAAGTTCATTGTACCTCTTCTAATTTGCAAACTTTCGCCGAAGAATTCCTCGGGAAACTGCGCAAGTGAACGAGAACGCTTTGCGAACGTCTCGACTATTTGGAGAAATTAACATTTATATTCGATTAATAAAGTTAAGGACGTATTGGACGTACAATCTTAGACAAAAGTGCATGAAATTGGAAATACTTAAATATCGACTCTTAACGCATAGTAAATCTAGATGTAAGAAACTTGAACGATAGTTGGAGTCTTATTTGTATTCCTACAAAGGTATTTTTCACTTTACAAATGTTTTTTCCTGAATTATTTGCGATTTTTTCACTTATGAGCCTAACTTTTGATAGTGAAAATACTCTGATTTCAATTCTTAATAACGTCAAATATTTTCAAAACTAAAAAATTCGTGCCGACAGCACGAATATCTCAAGTTATATTATATTATATTTTATTTCTTTAAAACGGTGCGGTAAAGACTAGTGAAACTTGGTAGATATTTTCATCTATTCGTATACTAGATGTATAAAAAAATTCAAAACACTGGTACTATTTCTTCTACATTTTTTTAGCTGTTTTATCCGTGAAGATCGGCTTTTCCCATAAGAGTACGTGTAAAATCAGTGTAAATTAAAATAGTTATATCTCAGCAACCGTTTAGTGGATGCATTTTTACTTCTCTGCAATAAATTAGAAAGACTAAAAGAACAATTTCACAAATTTTTGGCGACTTTGTACTATTTTGAAGATAGGTCCGATACATCCTTAACATTGCGACATTAAATGTCGAATGTTATAATAACGTCAGAATAATGTCAAAAGACCACAAGACGCTTATAAAGACACGCCATTTTTTCGCTCGTTTTCGATTTTAACGCTTTTAAGATTCAGAAGGACAATAAGTCGGAGAAATTATTGAATTATACGATACGCTTCTTTTGAACATTTGTACCGATCAAGCGGTCATCATCAAAGCTCAGAAGACACCCAGAAATATTCAAAAAAGTTTAAGGAATAAAATAATTTTCGTCCAAACATCATTACGCGTGCCTTGAACGTCCAGAAATCCAGAATTACAATAAATCATTAGAACTAAGAACGACGTAATTTTCTTTGAGAATTTAAAGTATCGAAAAGGCCAAAAAAACCCACACAGAAGATATTTAACGAGCGCCCGAGGGATCTGGATTTTCCTCCCGCGCTTTTAAAAAACACCGTTCTTATCGTTTGACCCGTTAAAGTCTCCTGGTTGCGACGGAAACTCGCTCAACACCGAGAGAGCGTCGCGCGCGTTCGAGGAGAGCTCCAGGATCTCGGATCTGCGAACGAGCTGCGAGATTCCAGCGTGTCGCGTGACGCCTCGGCGGGTCACAGCCTCGTAGGCTCCGCGGATCGCAATTTAACATCAGACGCGCTCGACCGACCTGAACGACGTGTCCAGGCAGAGCCAGATCGGATCACCGTAGACTTACCCATGCTTCTCGGGCAACGGGCGTTCACTCGCACCTGGTTGATCTTCGCGACACGGCGTCTCCTCGTCGACTGAACCGCCGCGTCCTCCCCGCCGGAAAGAACCGTCCGTTAGTCAGCAGTGACGGTGGTCACCGTCGTCACTGCTTCGCGCCGCGGACTCGCGAGAGGAATATACTTGAAGCTCGAGGCGCTACCGTGTCTCTTGATTAACGAGATACCGTGATCTCAGTACTCTTTGCGAATACATTCAACGTGTCGCGACAGTTGACTTCATTTAGAATGTCACAATGAAATTTGACTATTACTCTTTACAAACACGCACAATTAACTCGCTCTAAAAGTTAAATACACTCTACTTGGTGGATAATTTCCAAATTTGGAAAATCCGGAGTTGGTGATCGCGGACATCTTTAACGAGAACTTAAAATCAAACAGTTGATAAGTTGACTGGAAACAGTTTTCTGTTGAATTAACCATTCGGCAAAAAAAAGCGGCTTAATAGGTGCTCAGGGATTCTTTGTACAATTAGTTCTTGTCTTTAGTTTCTCATTGGATCCAAGTGTAGTAAGTTGCCGTAATATAAAATCACCGAGCGCTGATTAAGTTGCTTTTTTCCGCTGAACGCAGCCAAAATGTTTCCTAACTGGAGATTAAAAGGGCAATGAAAAAAAACAAACTTTGGGTAAAAGAATTCGATAAAAAACCGTATTCCTTGCTCATTACAAATGAGTTTTTTTGCCTCATTAATTACGCAGAATGATAGCAACAGTTTAGTTTTGAATTCATTAATTTGAAAAATCAGTACCAAAATTACAATTAGATATCACGTTTCGTGATAATCTATTCTCACTTTTAATCTATGAGATAACCAAAATAAGTAGCCTGACTAAAACTAAGCAACAAAAATTAAGAAATATTTCATTCAATTTATCTTCCAAAATAATTAAAAACAAGTTTTTTTTACTTAATTTTTGTACTTCATTTTTTTTTAAAACTTGCTTTTTAATCTCTACTTTTGATGACACGCTTCACCTATACATATAGCTCCCTATTTATGTGATATTATTATTATCTACACCTAATTCAATTCGTGAACGGATAAACGATCTTTTTATGGTCGTCTAATGGATGTGCCTGGAGAACGTTGGGTCTCGACAATTCCCGGCGATTGTACAAGCGGCACCATAGCCGCATCGTTGAGAAATACAGTATTTCCATAAATGACAAAAAACTGAAGCCCATGAAGAGACCTAGCAAGCCTCCTGTGCTCGCTGTAAATTGTAGTATACTTGTGAGAGAGAGTTTTCCTTTTTCTTTTTAACAACAGTAAGGCCGACAAGGATCAAATACTTACACAGAAATTCAATGAATCCAAAGAGCTCGTTTTTCACGTACTTCGTGAATTGGGAGTCCACGAAGAACAGATGAACCACCGCCATGTTTTCCCTACGTAAACAATCATATGGCGTCGTATGTAAATGCAAGGAAAAAATATAGTAAACTTCGCGATAGTGAAGTTTACGACGGAGGTGCCTGTGAGTAGGCAACAGCCGTGTACGCAGATAATTTTCTCGTAAAATTCACCCTGAATATCATGTAATTGTGGGACATGATATTTTGAATACCGTGAGAGCTTTTTGAAATTTTACTACACATTCTATTAGTAAAATGTATGGTAAAATAAAAAAAACTTGTAGTTTTTCAAAATACCATGTTGTCCCACGATTACATAATTTTCAGAGTGAATTTTACGAGAAAATTCTTTCCATGTAGTGGCAGCCGGATGTGATATGAATAACGTACAGGGTGTCCAAACAGATTCTAATCCAACCACAAATATCTTTCAACTTGCATTAATTTTTGTCAGGAAAAACAGGAGCGTATTGCAGCTTGCATCGATTAGTATGGAATTTAAAGTTTTTACTAGGGAAGATTGTAAAGGTATAAAGTCCACTCGAGTGTTTTTCCGGGACACCTTGTACCCTCGAACCTGAATATCAACCTGTTGCACTTCTTACACGCATCTCGGCAAGGTCTGCCGCGATAAGCGTTTAAATTCAATTTTTAATTAGTTTTAATTACGTGAAGTAATTCATGTCTTTCTTCATAAATCGCTTATTAGTTTGGATGGTCGGTAACAATTTGTTCTGCGAGAGCTCGATCCTGTAATTGATCTCGAAGCAGCCTGGCCAGCAATTGCAGCTTGGTCTGTAGGAGATTCGTGAATGAATGAAGCGATTAACTGTTTGCAACCTTGCTAGAAAACGTAACTCTCGCAAAATAAACTCACACTTCCGTGATGTTGAGGGGGCTCGTCAGATCCTCGTCGTAGAACTTAACTTCCATGGCCCGTCTAGCGCGTTTAGCACACTGCTCGTCCCTCTTGCTACAAATTGGCGTTTTCGATGATTCTGCAAATAATAGGCGGTTCTAGTGAATAGACAAGAATAGTTTACCGAAATACGAAAGATCTAGTTTAATTCCTCGATGTGTATGAACTTGGCATATCAATTGTTAGCATATAAAAAAAAAGTGGAGTTCTCTTTGCATACAACATAGTTCTATAGTTCCTGATAAATTTTAACAATAGTTCTGGTCATCTATTATAAAAAAATAAAATTTGAGAAATGATATGCTAACTTCGCACGAAGTCAGCATATCATATCATTTTCTGGAAATTTTTTTTATTGAATTTTATAGTATTCGACGAGTTCTATAGTTCTATAACATAGTTCTGACCATTGGCTCACTCTAAATAATTATTAACAATTAATATCAGAAAAAATACTCAGAATTAAAACGACATATGCTGGCAAGTAATTTTATTTAATAAAAATACGACGTTTCGACCAGTAATACTGGTCCTTTTCAAGTATAAAATTACGTTACATCCATCAAATGTTACAGCAAGAGATCTAAAAGTTATATAGTTACAATTAAAACAAGTAAATCAAAGTGTTAGAGAGAAGACGTGAGTTTACTTACGGCGCAGAAACGTGTCATGGTACATAAGAATTACAGTGATTGTCGTTAATTTTCGTCGAATAAATAGGTATAAAGATAAATTGTCGTAGTACATGTACATTGTTATAAATATTAAAAATCGTTGAAATAAAAAGTTAAATTAACACGCACAATGATAGATACGTCTAGTCATAAGTCTAAGAGCGGACTGTTTAGAACCGGTATAATAGGTCGTCAAAATAAAGTAAGTTAAAATAAAGGTGTCAGGAGGGGATAAAAAGATAAACTAGTAAGATGAATAAATAATACATTTTATAGATACGTTGACGACATTTTTACCATTGTTTAAAATCTCGCAGGAACCGAGAACTTATCGTAGCAGCACAGCATATCACCATAGCGTAGGTGCTATGCTGATATTAATTGTTAATAATTATTTAGAGATATCCAGTGGTCAGAACTGCACGGAACTATTATCAGGGAGCTTAGAACTATTGTTTAAAATCTCGCAGGAACCGAGAAC